TGTTTCACGAATCCCCTTAAATCAGCCAATTTGCTTAACAATGTTTAAATTTACTCGGCTCTTGTTTATGTTTCCCATCAATTGTTAAAGTTTTCAATATCAAACCAAAACAAAAGTCAGCAGCAGCAACAAACGAGGTCAGCGAACAGAAAGACGGAGCAAGTGTGTGCGAAAGAGGCGGAGAGAGCAAACAAAAGAGACAGAGCGAGAGAGGGCGAAACGCACAAAACACAAACTATATAGGTATATGTATATGTATATGTATGTATCAAGTCGAGGGTAGTTCAGCTGAACGAATATGCTCGCCTGTTACTCTGTGCCTGTATATTATCGATCATGTTTTAAAAGCGAAAGTGAAGCAGTGGGACGTCAGCCTGGGCAAGCGCAAGGGTTAGGGTAAGGGTAAGGGCAGAGCAGCTGCGGGGCATGGCAACAGCGTACATAAATATATGTATACACATTTAGTTGGGTATGATAATTGTATGCAACACTACTACTGGCCCTCAATCTCGTGTCGCAGCTGTTGATATAAAAAAGCTTCAAGTTTTTTTTTTTTTTACGCCTCTGCTTTTGCTGCTGCCGCTGTTGCTGTTGCTGCTCGCCTGTTCCATAAACAAAGCAAGCTATCGATTTCTACATAAAAAACGAAAGTAATGATGGCCACATACATTGGCTGGCCCTGGCTTCCAACTGGTGGCCGGGGTCGGGGTCGGGGCCCTGGCATACAGCGTATAACCCAGTTTTTGGGCAAGGGCAAGCGCGTCGCATTGACCCCGGACGCGAAGTTCAATGAAACGCAGGTAAATGCCCCACAATGGTGTCACGTTCAGGGACCGCCCCTGACCCACCGAGAGCAGCAACAGCAACAGCAACAACAGCCGCCGCAGCGCAGCGATCGACGCTACGATTGAAAGAAAAATCAGACGCCTGTTGCGTGTAGCAGGCGCACAGCCGCTGGCAGCAGCTGACACTCGTGTTTACAGTTGCTTTTTTCGGCAGTTCATTGAACTGCACACACTCGAAATTTTCGGAGATCGTTGACCGCACAGCGGAACGAAACAGCAGAGTGAGCGGGAGAGAGAGAGAGAGAGAGAGCGAAAGACCAACGAACTGAGCACGCGTAGCGATGGTGGCAGAGGGTGCGGCAGTGGCAGAGGCAGAGGCAGAGGCAGAGGCAGTGGCGGCGGCAGCAACATTAGCTGACATCAGCGCGATCGCTTACACTTGTTGCTCACCAGAGCGAACGAGCGCGTGAGCGACTGTGCGTGCAAGTGAGAGCGAGAGAAGGCGACGTGAGCGACTGCAATTGGCTGACGCTTGAGGCTAGAAAGCCGATGTGGTTGATATGAGCACACAAGAAAGTTGATCGAAAGTAAGTGATGGACACATCGAAAGACGCAAAATATGTGAATTAAAATATATAATTTACGAAATTATTTATATATAAAACACAACT